CTGTACAACTTACCAAAATGCATCTTGAAGGCGTCAGGATTCAGAACTTATAGTTTGTTTACCTCAATTGCCTCATTTGCCCAACGTGCCATATAATAATCATGTACTTGTGGTGGTGGTGGTTGGGTGCCGTCGAGTTGGCTCCAACTCATAGTGCAACGGAACAAGATGCTTCCAGTTCCTTCGCAATTATTGTTTTAGCCCATCTCCTTGACAGCCTTTCTCTTTTTCACTGAGGATGGACTACCAGAGCCTTGGTGGCACTGCTGGGTAAGCATGGGGCTGTTAACCACCAGGTCAAGGTCAGAGGATCAAGCCCACCAGCTGCTCCTCAGAAGAAAGAGGAGGCTGTCTGCACCTGTAAAGATTTACAGCCATAGAAATTCCGTATAGGGCTGCTAGGCGTCAGAATTGGCTAGGAAGCTATAGGGTTTCTGAAGGTTTGTTTGGTTTGGTTTTCTACTTTACCAAATATGCTGTTCTTCTCTTAGGACTCGGCTCTTCTGATAACTAAACTAACCCCCTGCTACTGAGTTGATTCTGATGCAGAATGACCCTGTAGGACAGAGTGAAACGGCTCCTGCAGGTTTCTGAGACTTTTTTTTTTCAGTATTACTTTAGTATTAGTGTTTTTTTTAGTATTAGAATTACTCATTCTTTTATTCCCAGCCCATGTCCACGGCGTAGAAGCTTAGTAAATGCAGACTGTGCTGAGTGCTGTTGGAGTGTGACATCCTGTACTCAGTGACGCACAGTGGAGGCCCGATATCCATCTTCTACTTTCATACAAACCTATAAATATACGCACATAGATCTATTTCCCCATCCTCATATATAAATATGTTTACATATGCACATGCCGATATTTAGACCTCTGTAAATCCCCTTTGCCTCTTAGTTCTTTCCTCTATTTCCTTTTCCTTTCCTTTTGTCCCACTATCATGTTCAACCTTCATTTGGGTTTCGGTAATTCCTCTCGGTTACATTGCCCTTGATCAAGTCCTACCAGGCCTTCTACACCCTCCTTGTCATTAATTTTAGATCACTTGTTGTTCTCTTGTCCCTGAGTTTGTTAACACCCACTTTTCTCCCCCATGCCTTCCCCTCTCCCATGTCCTCCCTGGAACTGCTGGTCCCACTGTTTTCTCCTCCAGATTGTTTATCCCACCTATCTTAACTAGATAGACCTGCAGAAATAATAATATGCACAAAACAACAACAAAAAAATTAAAGCCTGCCCATCTTACTTAGCTAGACCTGCAGAGATAATAATATGCACAAAACCAAGAAAGAACAAAGCCAAGCAACTAAAAAAAAGCCAAAACAACAACAACAACAAAAATCCAATGACAAACAAAACAAAAAGCACATAACACAACAACAACAACAAAGAAAAGCTTGTAGTTAGTTCA